GGAGCAGGAGAGGAGGTGTTGGGCAGCATGCATTTGGTGCCATTAAACCTGACTGTTACCTATGGTCAGCAGACGCTGAGGACCTCAAGGGAGGGAGACAGAAGTTCCAAGTGGAGATTGGGTGAGGGACTTCTACGACTGTCCCTGCTGATGCTTCCCAGGACTGCACACTTGGGAACAGATGGAAGCTTCAGGAATCCAAAACTTATGGGTCCACTTCCGGATGCCATAATAAGCTATAATTCAGCCCCACCGGTGCTGTGGACCTCTCGGACTGCAAAGACGAAGTTCTTTTATTTCCCCCAGATTTATAACCAAGCCGTGAGCGGAGGTCTTCTACTTGGTCACATGACTCTAAGGACAGGCATTGGGGGAGTGGGGGTGGGGGTGGGAATGCCTCCCCTCTGCTCAGCAAAAGGGGAGGGCCTCATTGCCAAACAACCCAGATCCATTTCCTCCGGAACGTTCAAGGGTCTCTGCACAAGCCGCTCGGGTTTGTTTGGGTTTTACTTTTGAAAAACTTCAAGGTCATTTCACAAAACTTTGAAATTAAATCCAAGCCCCACTGCAAAGACTCCTCTTCACTCTAAATCTGGGGCTTTGGGGAGGAGGAGAGCATTTGCATCTCGGCAGATGCTTCTAAATCCACTCCAGTCCCAGGGTCATGCATAGGCTCCTAAACCAACAACAATTAAAAACAAGGGGGCCCTCCTTAATCTGCTTAAGTGGGGGCCTTGATCAGAGGGCGGTATCAAAGCTAGGCTTAATAAACGAATGTGTCAGACGCTCAGCTGGGTTCCTTCCTTTATCTCCAATCTGCTCCTCAGACCCATTTTGCAGGTGGGGAAGGAGACTGACAGACAGCTTAACCTGCTGCTGCAGGTTTCCTTCTGATAGAAAGTTGGACCAGAGTGGTTTTCAAATCCACTGACCCAACTGTCCACCACTTGGAAAAAGCTCTCCCTGTCACTCCTGCCTCCTGGCCCCTCAAGAGCCCCCACATAATGAAGTGAAACAAGTATCTGTCTGCTTCTAGCTCATACATACACATACACATACATATGGCTCAGGTTACAGCATGATCCAAAAGAACAGCTAGCTGCTTCAAGGCATCTTGATTTATCATATGTATATGTATGTATGCATTAAAATGACAGTCTCTCAGGGCATGGTGGCTGATGCCTCTAATCCCTGCACTCAACAGGCAAAAGGCAGGGCTGCCACAGTTTAAGGCCATCCTCTCCCCAGAAAAGCAAAACAAAGCCTCTGGGTTCAAAGTTCAAACGTCAATAAAACACACATTGGCCAAAGAGCTATAGTTAAAATACACGCTCCCTGGTCACCAGTAGGTTGTAACCCCCACCTCAACCCTGCTCAGCTCGCTACAAAGAATGGCTACACATTCTCCGGGACAAAGATAATAATCTGAAGACCCCAATCTCACCCCCTCTCCATTTACCTTTCACCCCGCAACTCCTTCCAGCCAGGACCCCCCATGGCCCAAGTGACCGGGGATACCTGGAAAGTATTGCACCATCCCTCATCATGAGTGAGGATGAGGGATGTGGGATGCAGCCGAGGTGGGGGACCAGGGTTGGCTCTGCCGCTTGCTGTTCAATGACCCCTAAGCCTCCAAATTCCTACCTGCATGATAAGTCATCTGACACGGTGGCACACATTATTAACCCCAGCAGTAGAGGCAGGCAGATTAGCTGAAAATGAGAGGACAACCTGATCTACATAAAGGTCCAGGGCTACAAAATGGTACCCTGCCTTGGATAAATAAAGTTATTAGTATTGTTCTTCGCTAGACTGTTTGGAAGAACACATTAAAAAGAACAAATAAAAAGGAGACTAACGTGGGCCTGAGCTGTGTGCAGAAGGGCTGGCAGTAGAAAACGCTATTGTTATTGGAGAATACTGACTAGTATTGTTCTTCGCTGGACTGTTTGGAAGAGCGCATTAGTTCCTATGTGCCCCTGAAGTAGCTACATTCATTCCCACGGTCATTTATTACTGGTGAACATCTGCTCAGGCTGCATCATGATCCAAAAGAACAGCTTAGGTTCTTCACAACCTCTTGGTTTATCAAAACTCAAGGGCCAAGAGCTTTGCAGACCATGGTGCCCATAGCAGCCCTAGATGTTAGCTCTGTGCTTCCATTGGCTCACCACGCCACAGGCAGGACACAAGAGTGTGAGATGAAAACCACTCAGACAAGTCACTGGGCCCACACCTTGCCCACACGGAGCCAGAACTTTCCAACAGTGTGAGTCAAAGTCCCACTAGAGAAAATTACCAGGCCCCAGTACTTGCTGCCCTGTGACCCCATCTGGCCCTGTCTGACACTGACAGCCAGCTATAACAGAGGTTTGAGCCCCACAGCTGCCTGGGGCATGCAGAAGGGAGAGTAGACTATAATTAGGCCAACCTTGCTGGCATTTCCCTCTTCACTCATACTTATTTCCTGTGAGTTGGGCGAGGGCTACAGGGCTTCACAAGGAACTCCAGGCATGGGGACTGGGAAGGGGGCGGGGTCTCTCACCACCTCGGATCTGCCCTAAGCAGACCAAAGAATAGTTAGCTAGCACACCTTCTTCCGCTTACCGGTGACCTCTCGCCGGGTGTTCTTAACGTGAGAACCCACAATTCCCCTCTTCCTATCACTTGCCACATATCTCTTCCCAGACCAGAAAAATTAAAACTTTCTTTAAAAGAAAAGGTTCCCTTTTGTAGCTAGCTGGAGGGCAGGTCGGATGCAAAGAGATGTGGAGTCTACTGTAAATGAGAGACCAGCTCTCAGGATGGAATGATGCTGACCTTTGTTGCATGGATGCCTCTGAGGCTCATCTCTGTCCATCAACACAGAAGACCCCAGCCGGCAACGCAACTGTCACTAAGAGGGGTGTGCACGCCGAAGCCCTGTCATCCCAGAAGTCTGGCATCTAAAGTAAGGTCTACTAAAAAGCCATCTAAGACTCCTCTAGAATTGGCCGGCTTCTTTAAATGTTTCTCACAAAATCTATGACTATCAGAAATAACTCAGTGGCGAACAAGATTCACTTGGGAAGGAAGCATGTGTGTGCCCTTGACTTCTTACATGCTGCATGACGTGAAACCATTTAGGCTTTCAGAAACCTCATCACCTGAATAATGCTGACACTATGCCCCAGCTCAGAGTTCTAGGAAGACGAAATGAGATAACAGAAGTGTGTTCTGAAGCATTAGTTCTGACCTATTATAAAATTCATGTTAGCATTATTATTATTATTATTATTATTATTATTTATTCAGCCACACAATTTTGTTATACCAGGTGCCATTTGAAATTATGGAATTAGTGCCTGGAAACATTTTGCAACCTCAGAAAGCAGATGCTGTATGTCTGTTCCTATTTTACAGCTAGGGAAGCCAGTATCAAAGACAGCTCAAACTGATGGAGTCTAGGTCTGGACGACAGAGATCTTCCCCTGTAGGCAGATCTGTCCTTCAAACTTTCCTTGTCCCTTTCTTTCTGCATAAAGGATTTAAATAAGGGTATTTATTTTAAAAAGCCCTGCTGGGAGCTAGTGTGCCTAGATCCCAGCAGAGGAGGTGAAAGAAGAGGTGATCTGGAGCCCAAGGCCAGCCTGAGATTCCCAAATTAAAGAAAAATAACTATACTGGGTATTATTACATATTCTGTGCCATACCCCCCTGGACTTAGTTACATTGGCTTCATAATCCTACAAACCCTGAGGGGAAAAAAAGCATTTCCTGTAAATCAATGCGTTTTCTTCCCGCCCTTATTCTAGACATAATGTCCAACCCTAAACAGATCTTGCTCCACACATCCAAAATGGCCAAGGGGGAGAGCGAGAAAGTGCCAATGCCCCAGCTCCACAGCTAAAGGAGTGGGGCTTTGGCTTCCTCTTAGATAAACACACTTAAAGTAGAATCGATTAGGAGTTTAACATATTAAAGCAGAGTGACTTCCCTGCTCCAGAGAAATGTAAATTTCAGACCGGTGCGGTAGATTGGGAGTACTCCTTCCTTCAACAGTGCCCTTTTCCTTCTGGTGTGGGAGGTTTAGAGGCAGATAGTACCCACTGAAAGACGTGTCAACCGTCTCCAAGGGACTCCTCTGACAGGGAGTTCTCCAAAGCCCATAGAAAGACCCGCTGGGTCCTCCCCAACCTTTACCGCGGGTAGCTAGAAAAGTCAGAGGACCTAGGGTCGTCGGAAGTGAGTCCGCTGCGGGCACTCCAGCAACAGCTCTAAGAGGCGCTCCAGTGAGGTGCAAGCACCAAGTCTGTAGTAGGAACAAACGTTCTAGGCTCACAGGGAAAAGGGGACACTCCCTGGGGAGGTGACAGCCAGAAAGAAAGCACCAACACCCAGGGGAGCTACCCTCTTCCCAGCTACCTTTTTGCACCGGAATTAGATTCGTGGTTGGCCTTGGGGGGGGGGGGGGCGGTGTTCGAAAGCGAAGTTCCCCGAGTGAGTGGTTGGGAGGGGACGCTGAGGAAGTTTCAAGGAAGGAAAGAATGATGGAAGAGGTGAAGCTTTAGAAACCTGGGCTTGCGACTCCGCACCCCTTCCCGAAAACCCCTGATACCCAAGGAGACCAATTCCGACCCTCCCGCCCCCACTTCGCTGCGTTTTAAATTGTCTTCCAGGTTGCAACTAAACCGATTTCTTTTCTAGGCCTCTACGGGAGGCACTAGGGTACGAAATACAACATGGCTGGTCTACATCGCCATCACTTTATTGTATTGTCACCGTTAACTTAACTATAAATACTACGGTGGGGAACACGGCTCACGCAGGCAGCCCGAGACGGCGGGCGGGGCTGCAGTTCCCCCACACCCGTCCCCGGCGGTCCCGGGCCTGTACATTATTTACAGCTAGCTCCTCGTTGCTTTCTCGACCCCCTCCCACAAGGCAAGGCGTGTGCAAGTAGCATCGTCTGTTTGTGCAAGTCCTTGCGTCAGGCAAGCGCCACGGCCGGCCCGCGGCCGTCAGCTGTCCGAGTCCAAATCGCTTTTACCTTCCTCTTCCCTCTTCTCGGGCGAGGCTTTTGAGGACGCCTTGTTCCACTTCTCGGCGTTTTCCGACTCCTCCGAAGAGGACCGCTTCTGTCGTCTCCATTTGGCTCGGCGGTTCTTAAACCAGACCTGTTGCGCAAGGGAGCAACAAAACAGTGATGACCAAAGATTCGCTTCCCACCAACGCCAAGCCACCTCCGCGTGGCCAGAGGTCAGCCTGGAATCTCAGACTGGCCACGTGAAATTGCAAGTAATCGCTGCGCCCAATACCAACATTCCGCATTTCCACTCCACTTCCTGGGCCTAAAGCGCCTTCCAGCAGCCTCCAGGTCGCCGCCTCCGTGATGCTCTTAGAGTGGCTGCAGCCCCACAAAGAACTGTGCAAACCCCGCATACAGGGAAGGACCGCTAGACCTTCCCACCCACCACTAGGCAGGCCCTTTGCCTACCTCCACCTTCTCCTCCCGAAGGTGCACCTTCCGGGCCAGCTGCTCCCGAGTGCCCACGTCTGGGTACTTCGTCTCCTGGAAGAGGTTCTCCAGGGCTTCGAGCTGCTCATCGGTGAAGATGGTGCGGTGCCGCCGCTTCCGCCGACAGTGCAGTTGGTTGAGCAGCTGCAGCTCAGTGCGCGACAGGGTGCCCACATTCATGTAGGGAAGCATCTGGTGCGGCACCGGGGACACCAGCACAGAGCCGGGGCCCTCGTAGCCTGCGACAGAGGGAGGGAGGCCGGTCAGCCATCCTCTCTCTGCACCGTGCGCCAACCATCTCACTGCTCTCTCTCACTTAAATATAGAATAGGTCTACAGGGTTTTTGGGGGCGAGGAGACCAGGGATGATCGGACGTGAAAGGAGCGAGCGCCCGCACACATCCAAAGCCAAACCAGGCACTTTAGAATCGTAGTCTCCCCAGCCCTCAATTTCCGTGCGCGCAGGGAATCGCCTTGAGACTTTAGGTTGCTCCGTTTCTTTAACTCTAGCTTAAAGTCTGCTTCAGACATACGCAAAGTTCCGTACCCATTGACCAAGAAATAATAATAACAATAATAATGATAGTAGTAGTAATAATAAATAAAAGAGAGGGGAAGCTTGCAAAGGAAGAAAGTTGGTGCCAGGTGAATAAAGCAAGCAGCGCAGCACCGTGCATCCACGTCCCGGCAGCCACTTACTACCACGGTGGGGAAGGCCTGCACGCGATCGCGACCCTACCTGGGGGTGTCGGGACGCAGGAACACTGCTGGGCGCCCAGAGGCGGCACAGCCCCGCAGCAGGCCGGGCCCACGGGCGCCGCCTGCACGTGCAGCTGCCCGTAGAAGTAACTGTTGTAGCCTAGTCGGGAGCCTCCGACCGCGGCCGGGAGGCCCGCGCCTCCAGGGGCCACAGGACGCGGGTAGAAGGCGCCGTAGTCCGAAGAGGTGCCACCGCCCGCGCCATAAAGCGAGTCCCCATGCAGAGCCGGGAAGACCACCGGAGCCGCGGCGCTGGGCGCCACCGGGAGCACCGCGTCCTTGCAGCGCGGCCGGGTGGCCAGGATGTTGTCGATGCTGAACATGCTGGCGGGCATCCCCGAGCCCCGCGCCGGGACCGGGGGGCGGCGGGGACGCGCCGAAGAAGGAGAAGTCTCCAAGTGGTGTTGTTTGGGGTGGGGGGTGGGGGTTGTCCCACTCTCTCCTTCCGCGGGCGAGCAAACCGAAAGAGAGCGCGGGCGAGCGCGCAACTCGCGCCCCTCCCCGCCCCCTGCGTCCGCGTTCCCTCCTCCCGCCCTCTCCTCCCCTCGCCGCCGCCTAGCTGAACTCAACCCGCGGGTAGGACGCAGCTCCGACCGACTCAACCTCTTGTTGGTTTTATACTGAGTCGACGTCATCCTGGATTTAGTTCCTGGTAATATGCAGATGACAAACAGAACCAGATTTGGTCCTTTTCTTTTCCTTTGGGTGGTGTGGAATGGGGGAGCGCGCGCGGGGGTGGTGGGGGCGCTTGCCGGGGAGGGGGGAGAGATGCCAAGAGGAGGGGGGGCTGCAGAGCCTGAAAAAGAGATTGTGGATTGAGAATTAATGAAATTAACCTAATCTTTTCCATTCGGCAGCCCTGGAGCGGCCCCGGCCTAGCTGGGCGGGCGGCCTAATTGCCAGGTTAATCTTATTAATACTATTGTCCCGCCGTCGTTAACAGCTCCGCCACCGACCTCTCCGCCCCGACCCTTTTCTCTCTATTATGGGGTGCGATTTCCTCTGCTTGTAGCTCAAAATCATTGTGGCCAATTTTACTTTAGAACTACTTTTTAATCTCTTTCGGAATTTATTTGCTTTTAGAAAATGAGGGTGTCCTCAAGTAAGACGGAAAATTCCACCGCTCCTCTCGCCGCCAAGCCTCCCCCCCCCCGAACTCGGGGCCTAATTTCACTGTTTTTTCCTGTCTCCTCAAAATCTTTTGTTTCTGCGAAAGCCAAATTTTCTCAGAGCAAAAATGACGAAAGAAGAAACGTGTCGGGCTTCGAAAAGTTGCATTCCCTTTTTGCGGTCATTTTGGGACTGAAAATTGTCCTGACGCTCCCTAGCTCCTAACACATCAGTTGAAGACCAAATTCAACCACTGTTTAAAATTCGCCACCGAGAGGAGCGCTCTGAAGCGATGCTTCCAGAGGCTTCTCGCGTGGGTGCCGGTAGGTTCTGTACCTTTTTTAAATTATTATTCTGGGGAAAGGGGTGTGTTCCCCCAAAATCGTTTGGGGGTTTTAATTCAGATAGGCTCTACCGGGACTGCCTGTCTTCTTCCTCAGCGTATTGAGTGGCATTTCCTCGCATCAATGAACTAACTCTCCTAAAGGCCTCTAGTTATCCTTCCAGGCCCGCTCCGGCCTCAGTGGAACCCCAGCGGCCAGGACGAAAGTCGGGCCACCGCGGGCGGCCGCGATGATTTGCGGGATTCTCCGTGAGGCACGGTCAGGCCGCGGGAGGCGCAGCCAGCCAGCTCTGCGCGCAGGAGGCTGGGCGAGCTTCGGGAAGGTAGGCGACCGTCTGTGCAGAACGAAAGCAGAGGCCCGAAGTCGCGTGGGCTGATTGCCTGCCCCGGAATTGCGGAGCGGGCCATCGTCGCGCCTTCGCGCGGGCCACTCTCCGACTATTCCCGCCAAGGCCCGAGTGGAGGACCGCCAGGAGTTCCTATGCATTTTGTGGAGATTTCTCTCCCTCTCTACACTGGCCTCAAAGCACTCTAAAGTCGTACAATAAATGCTAAGTTCCCCCCAGGCACCGAGAGAGACCCCTCTTGTAAATTGCTCTTCCTGGGATAGAGGACCGGAGCGGTAAGTTTGGTCCAGGCTAGAGGCAGAACTCAGACTGTGCGGGAGAGCTGCCACCCAGAGCTGGGAGAGTGCGCTTCTCCTCCTAGGCCTCCGGGCGTGGACCTCAGGCGCCTTTCAGCCCACCCGCGCATGGCCTGGGACACTTGACTCTGCTTACTTTCGCAGACTGGAGGTGGTGGTAGGGAGAGTTTTATAGGACTGGATAGAAACAGGCTTCATTTGGGGGATGGATAGGTTTTGATTTTGTTTTCAAAAGAAACAATTAAAGTCTCTCAGGAGTGTGACCCTCCTTCAGAAAGGCCAAGCCTACCTAGAAAGGTGAACTCCCCATTTACAGTGACTTTACAGTCGCCAGGTTCCAAGATGCCACCGGCCGCTTGCCATGTTCAATTCTAAAGGAAGGTGAACTGATGGACAAGAATGAGAGCCTGCCGCTTCGGCGGCGGTGACTTCGCTGCGTTTGTGGTGGTGGTTGCGAGTGGGTAAGGCGCGTGCGCAGGCGGCTCTCTAAGGCCCTTTGCAGGGGTGCCAGGCGGAGGCAGGAGGGCCTTAGAACACCTGGGGTAGATTCCTGGACCCCTGCAATTTCTGAAAGGCAACTCAGACACAGACCTGACAGGTATTCATCCACCGATCTGAAAGAGCCCCGCGGAGAGTTTGGAAGATTAAGGCAACCCACACCCATCCCTTCGAGTCTTCTTAGCTTGATACATAATGATCAGTTTTAGCGAGTCTCGGATTTCGCCGCGACGCTTGATTCCCTGCAGCGCTCTAGCTAGAGCAGGGACCCTAGAGGGGAAAAGCGCTTCACCTGGAGTCCAGCGTGTCAGAGCTCAAGACCTAACATTGCCACCTGGCAAACTATCCCTCCTTTGAAGACCTCGGGATTTTAAATAATCTAACCAAATCCAACATTAATTAAATCCCTTAAAACCGTAGGATTTAATGAGGATTGTTTCTGTTCTTTTTATTGGGACAAAGGAGTGTGCCACTCCCACCCCTGCCCAAAGCCAAAACCAAAGTCTGTTCAGTTGCGTTCAAGATAAAGAAAAGTCTCTTAGCTCTTTCCTCGAAGACAGGACTTTCCCAGAAGGGAACTCACGGACTCGAACCACACAACTGCACCGGCTTAACCGCTGCGCTCCGGGAGAGCTCACCCGTGGCGGGGCCTCCCTGGTACGATCGTCCCCTCAGCACAAGGTTGTTCTACTTTGTCCGCCGGGAGACAGACTGTGAAGGAAGTCAGGGGCCCAGCTCCCTTGCTGTGCTTTCTCTGCGGAAACCATAAAGTGTCCCCAACGCACTGGAAACAATCTTGCCCTGAGTAGCCGGGCGCAATTGAAATAACAAATGCGAGGCACGCAAATTGTCCCCCCCCTCCAGTTGCTAAGCGATTGTTTGTCGCCCCGCACGCCTGGCTCAGCATGGGAGGACCAGCGCCTCCGGAGGCAGCCTGCGAGGCTTCGGTGAGAAATAAGTAAACACGCTGTTGATTTTCTCTATTATCACCCAAACACGATTTCACACAAAGCAATCACCACGCAGAAGTCTATGAAAATGTGTTTGTTGAGGAGTCACTCGCCCCAGTAATAGCCCTCATTTTTAAGATATTAAAGAAAGGATCAGCGGATTCCACATGCATAAGGTGCATTTGCTGTTAGGCATCTATCAAAGACCGCTCTTGCGCCACCGTTATCTCCGAATTGATTCAGAGTGTAGGTTAAATTGCTTTTCTGATTTAAAACATAGCGACCAAGTTTGGAGTGCGCATCTGGATATCTTCTCAGCGGGCTGTCTCCCCACTATCCTTACACCTCAGTCTCTTAGCTTCCCCCCCCCCCCGGAAAACGGGTCTTAGGCCCCAAATCCTCAAGATGTTATTTTTTTAATTAAATTATTTATTTATTGGGACAGGGTCTGTGTTGTCCTGACTGTCCTAGAACTCACTCTGTAGACTAGGCTGACCTCAGGGATCCTCCTGCCTCTGCCCCAGAGTGCTGGGTTTAAAGGCAAGGGTCACTAACCGTCCCAGACAAGATTTATTTCTTAACTCTCACTTTTTTGCCTACACGTGGGGCAATTTATAATTGGACATTTTAGATGGGGTTTTTAGGTACATGGTTTAGGCAGGAGTTTCCGAGTTGTGTGAAAAGGGTATGGGGATGCACGAATAAAAAATAGGAGAATCCCGAGGTTAGTGGAGACCTCCTACAGTTTCACCAAGCCAATTGGTTTTGCTGTTTGCATTTTGTCTTAAAAAAAAAAAATCAGTGTTCCAAATCCAGTTCCCTGTTTCTACTACTCCTTGGAAGACATCTCAGAGAGCTCCAAGTGATCTTCCTCTCAAGATAAATTGGGACCGTGCAGTTGAGCAAGGAGCTGGGCACCACCAACAAAACTTGGGGTCTGCGGCTTGTGAGCCTAAGATATTGACTAGCTGATTTTTGTTAGAAGCGTTGCAAGTTCACAATAAAAGCGGCAACTAATCAAAGTGTTAGGAAAGGGCCACTTAATCCTGGGAGAGAAAGGGGCGTCACCCCGAAATGACGTGTTTCCCAAGGCCTCAGAAAGAGAAAATAGCTTGGACTTCCCGGGTTGCAGAAATCGGCTTTCAGCTGAGCTATTTACCAAAGTTTGTTTCAAAGTGACTGCACCGTGGCTTTCGTAAATCACAGAATGCAAATGAGGATAATTTGTTCTCAAAGGAACTTTCTCTTGAAATGATTAGCAAAGTCAGTCATTTGAAAATGAGAGCAGCCAGCACAGACCTTCCCGAAGCCCCTAGCTAACCCGTATCAGCTTCTAACGTTTTCATTCATGTAAACCTCATTAATGAAGATCTTTTATTTAAACGTCAAGGGGATTTGAAATTTAGAGTAAATTATGAAGCTTGTATGTCTAGCCAAGTCATGGGTCAGATGCGTTTGTGAAAAACTGCTAAAAGAGCATATGGTTTTGAATTCTTCTACAATGACTAGTGTTTAAATAAATTGCTTGTACTGCTTAACTTCATGTGTAATTTTGACAGAAATTGGCCTATAGCCTTTTGATATGTAAACATTTCAGCCTTTTATGCGGTATAAAAAAGACACTTGCTTTTTCGGATCAGCTCAGGCAGTCACCCTGTAATTCAGAAAGCTGGCACCTACCATTACGTTCTTGCTGGATTTCAACTTTCAACTGGCAGCCTTGGGAGGGAAAAAAAATAAAGAGAAGAAAGGAAGATATTTCAAAAGTATTGTCCATTTGCGATTAAAAGC